CATCAGCTAACATAAAAAGGTCTGTAGATGCTTTAGATGACTTTTTGAGATAGCCTACATTTTTTATTAAATCCCATGTAGCTTTGGCATTATTTTTAGCTTTAAGGAAGTAATTATGATCAAATTCTTTTTTTATTCGTTTAAGAAGGTTATTGCAAAATTTTTTGTACCGGTTATAAATTATACAGAGTTCGGTATTTTCTGGGTTTTTCTTGGTTTTTCTAAAAAGTTTATCACGGTTTCGGATGCATCGCAAGAGCCCAGGTGTAATCCAGGGCTTTAGGATTCGCGTTTTACTGGTTACAGTTATTTCTCTGGAGTGGGTTTTTACAATTCCCGAAATAGCTGTTACAAGTGTTGTCGCCGCCCGTTCAGCATCGTTATCACACAGAACATTAGAGAAATCATACTTTTCCAGCTCTCCGAGACAACTCGTTTCATCAAGTTTTATCACAGAACGCCGCATGACGTGGGTTTTTATTTTAACATCAGAGCAAGTAATCACCGGCGCGTGGTCTGTAATAAAGGAATCCAGAACCAAAGTAGTAGAGATTTGCTTTGATTTTAGCATGACGTGATCGAGACAGCTGTTTCCACGAGTCGGGAAACTATGCGCAGAAAGCAGGCCATGTAAGGACACAAGATTGAGATATGAATCAGAATGAGGATCATTGCTATTATAAGCTATATTTAAATTAATATCTCCAATTACCATTATATTATTGTACATACGTAAGCTATATAGGGTTTTATCTGAGGAGTTATTGAATCTATCAACATTTCTAAAAGATGGGGAGCGATAAAGTGCAACGATTACTGCTGTATTCATTAATTTTAAAATAAGACAATTTGCATCGTAAAATTCTGGCTTTTCAACGGTGTGAATTATAGTTTGCCTGATGTAGGCAACAACCCCGTCATTTTGGTGAGTATGATTAGATGCATAAGAAGTAAAACCGTGTAATATAGGCAAATTATTACATTTACTAAGCCAGCATTCAGATAAAACTACTACGTCAATTTTTACACTTATTCTTTCAATTAATGCCAACAGATATATAAAATTACATCCTATACTTCTAATATTAACATGCAAAATATTAAACGTGTTACAATTATTCGAAACTAAATGTGAGCCACAGTCTTCCGGAGAACAAAGGAAAGAATTCGATACATGAATATTTTCTATTTCTGTTGTTATCTTATGAATATCAATCATATTTATAGTAAAGTAAATGGTTTATTTATATAGAAAATAAATATAAAGTGAATATTAGTATTAAAGGTATTATTATGCCTAAAGAGATATTGTTCATACAGTTTTCAATAAACTTTATGCATACATACATAATATACATTGTATGTTTATATATGTATACGCATTGAGAGGAAGTAGCAATAGATATAGTTCACTAAAACTTACATAGGATATGGCTGAGTAAAAATCAATTGGATTGTACTCGTATTTTAAAATGTTGTGTATAGAAGTGTGTGTGATGTGATGGTTGTTTACTATAGTATAAGAAGTACATATTATGTCTATTATGATACGGTTGATCATAATATTTTGTTACACAAATTGTCAAAGCTTGGAATTTCGGGCTGCCTATTGCAGTGGTTTCAAACATATTTAAAAAATCGTTCTGCAACTGTAGTGACTAATGGTTTTTTGTCCTTCGCCTTTTTCATTAAATCTGGAGTACCTCAAGAGTCCCATTTAGGACCAATATTATTTATCATTTTCATTAATGATATTTGCAATTGCTTCAGACATTCTGAACTTTTCCTTTATGCTGATGATTTAAAGATACTAAAACCTATTAGAAGTCAAACACTATGAGTATACAATAAAAGACTCAGTATTGTGACGGTAGAATTTGTTAAAAATTTTGGTGTTAATTTTGATAGCAAACTAAAATTCAACAAACACATTGATTTAATGACGAATAAATGCTATAAAATATTAGGTTTTGTTATCAGAAATTGTAAAGATTTCCGTGATCCCCTTACAAAGATTTTATTTTACAAAACATTAGTTAGATGCTACCTAGAATATTGCAGTTTTATTTGGAATCCTCTTTATGGTATTTATAAAAAGAATATGGAAAGAATCCAAAAAAGGTTTTTTTGGCATCTTTGCTATAGCGAAAATTTAATTAATCGACCGCCAACATGTAAAGACCGATTTAAACATTATAAATTAGACACACTAATGATACGTAGAAGTCTGTTGGATATGACAATTTTACATCAAATGGTAAACGCCAGAATGGACTGCCCATATTTAATCTCAACTTTAAAAATAAATGTCCCAATAAGGATACCTCGTTATAATACGTACAACCCATTCCACATTTACAAATCCAAATCAAACTTGGTCCTTTATTCTCCTATAAATCGAATATTAAAAGAATATAACATCTTACACAGAAACTCGGATATCGACATATTTTCTAATAAAATTGAAAAATTTAAGTCTCTGATATTAAACTGTTTAAGAGTTACTTATGGTGATAGCTTTTAACTTGTATCTATTGTATTGCTAATTTGTTTTTTTCTTCTCATAATAGATGTTGCTTTTTTTCTTTTCTTTCTTCTTTAGTTGAAATTCCTATTCTACGTCTTAAATTTTTTTTTTATTATTTATAGTACGTACTGTTAATTTTTAATTTTTAAATGATGTGTAACTGTTTACGAATATCTTGGATACCTATAAGTATGTTAACAGTTGGATTTAAATCTCCTTTATACAATTGTGTATTTTTCTTAAGTTACTGTATATCTATTGGTGATCCTAATTATATAAATAAATAAATAAAACAAAGCAAAAGAGAGTTGTTTTTGTAATCATTATCGCGTGTTACAAAAAATAGTGGTTATTATATCAAATAAAAAACCATATGAGTACAAGTATTATATTACGATCTATTATTGGCTATGTAATATTATTATGTGTTAACTCAATTATTTTGTTCTATAGCTCCTAGGATATTATCTGTTTATTTACGATAGAAACAAAAATATACTCGTATGTCACGTAAATAATTTTTACGTCAAGTGTTGCTTAATAAAGCAACATAATATGATTTTTCTATATCTGAAATGAAATTCAATTTTTTTGGCAAATCAATACCTAGAATAGGCAATGGCTTTGGCACGTCATCTCAAATTTATAAAATAAATTAAATTAAGATTTATTTTAACTTACATTTTATAAAAAAATCAAACAATTTAAAATATTGACACATTCTCCGAGACCAATTCTTCCAGAGTCCAAAGCAATTTACCCCGAGCTCTTAAGAAATATTCTTGCATATTTTAATCTAAAATGTTAGCCAAGATACAAAGAAGAGTTTTAAAATTATAACTTAATTATTAAGTTTAATTATCTTTTTATTTAAATATTAGGGGAGTAGAACTATTAGTATTTTTATTTAACTAAATGAATAATAGTTAAATAGATATAATAGACAGACACACAGAGAGACACACACACGCACACACACACACACACGCACATACATGCGCGACACACACACGCACACTTTTTTTAAATTTCTTATTGCTTTTTGATTTAATTGCGATTTTTCTCTGACTCTTGTATAGGTTAACTGGTTGTATAGGTAACCTCTTGCCTTGCTCGCGCTCCACACCCTAGGGAGCTGGGTCTAACTGAAAATCAGCACTGCTTGAGATTTCGGTCTTAGCAGCATGAGCTGAGTTATTAGCCTTTGCCATAAGTTAGTTTAAGCTTTTACTGATTCTGTGAACTTTTTTATGGCAATAAATACGTTTTTATTTATCTATTTATTTATAATAGAAACATAAATATGTTAAAATATTTGAGCTAAAAATTTAAACTTTCTCAGATGCGCTGGAATACATTATTAATTCATTGTTAATTATGATAAAGTGTACCTGTTTTACTCTTTCGCTCGCTTTACTACTCGGTTTTTACGATTATGATAGCACGCATTTTTAAAAATATTCAGTGTTGAAAAAAATTATATACTTTTTCATTACTTTATACTGTTGAAGAAAATAGATATTACTTATGAAGAAAACTGGAGCAATTAAGACTGGGGATAACAACGCAGCTAGCTAACAAGTCAATGTAGCTCGAGCGATACTAGAGAAATAAAAAATGGCATCGTTTGAAAAGAGCATGACAACTCGCATGGAAATCCATATGCAAGAATACTTGACTTACCTATTGTACATATCGTTGCAAATACAGATAGTATTCAAAAATTCAAATTTTAATTGCTGCTGTTTGTTTTCCTTTCATCTTTGTTTTATGTTAGTGCATATATATATATATATATATATACACTCGTGAGCAAAAAAATCGACTCAGGACGCACGCTTGCGGTTAAAAAGCTCTAGCAAAAAATCGGAAGCTTTTATTATATTTCTGATTTTAACATCTCAAAGTTCTTTGTTTTAGCTTTAAAATGAGTGGTCTATGTTGTTATAAAAAAATGTTTTCTGGTAAAGAAAAAATATTGAATGAGATGGAGTCTTAAGCAATAAAAAAAGTGATGGTTGACGGTGTTAGAATATGTAAACGTTGTTAATCTATGTATCCAAATTATTAGTCTATGTTTACTCTAGGAATATTGTTGTACTCTGTAGTTTATGGATGTAAAAAAAAAAAGAAGATGTCGGATTATTAGAAATACAGGTGTTGGTTTGAATAATGTCTTTTAATTAAAGTGAGTTGCGTAGGGGCCTTACAGCCTAAATATATCAAATTTTATATAAATTCTCACATCTACGGACCTCTGGGTTATCTGATCATGTGTGTAATAAAATAATAATAAATACAAACTGATGTTCTGTTTTCGTGCCGTTTGAAGAAATGAAAATTGTTAAAATGGACGCCATGACCTAGCACTTTCGGCCCCGAGAAATACTTTATATATGATGATACTCTTTACTGAGAAACAAAAAGGATTATATGTTTGAAAGTTTGAATTCATTCTATATATATATTAAAAATGTCAAGTTTAGAAGTTTTTCCACAACTTTGTGAAGGGAGTAAGTTTAGTAATTGGAAGTTCAGGTTAAACATTTTATTTGAAGAAAAAGGTATTGAGTATTTATTAAATGGAAAGAAAGACGAAAATTTGAAAAAAGAGACGTATAAAAAGGACGATGCTAAGGGAAGATTGATAATTATAAATTGCTTAAACGATAAATTCTTGGAAGTAGTAAAGCCAGCGACCAGCGCATTAGAAATGTTGAAACTATTAAGTGCAGTGTTTGAAAGGAGAAGCACATTTAACAAAGTGTTACTTAGAAAGAAACTTATAACTTTAAAACATCAATTCTCGAATAAACTTCAGGATCATTTAATTAACTTTGAAAATATAATTAACGAATTAGAAGGTGGAGGTGCAAAGATAGAGGAGTTAGATAAGGTGGAGCACCTGTTTATAACACTACCAAAGGAGTATGATACCATAATAAAAACGTTGGAATCCCTCGACAAGGAATTAAATTTTGAGTTTGTAAAATGTAGATTACTCGATTTAGAAAATAAATTAAAAGAAAATAGTATTGAGGAGAAAACTGAAAATATGTTTATTACAAACACAGCCATTATTTGCTTTAAATGTAAACATAGAGGACACAAATCATTTCAGTGCAATTTAAATAATAATATGACTAATAACAATGATATGAAGAATTTTATCACTCATAATAATAGAGAAAGTAATAGAGGAAGTGTACTCAACAATAAATTTTTTAACAGAGGATTTAATAACAATTATAATAGAGGAAGAGGTTATAATAATAATTATATGAATAGTGGTCACAGATATAATAATAACTACACGCGTCAAGTAAGAGGTTACAATAATAATTATATGAATAAAGGAAGAGGACGGCACCATAATTTTTCTAGACAAGCGAACACCACAGAAGAATTTAATTTACATGAGGAAAATAAAAGCACATTTGTGGCATTAACTTTGGAAAATGAATTTAAAGAAAGCAATGACATCTTATTTATAATAGACTCTGGGGCAACGCATCATTTTATCCAAGAAAAATATGAGAAGTACATGTATGACATTCAATTACTAGATGAGCCGATGAAGATTAAAATAGCCAATGGTCAATTTTTAATTGCTAACAAAAAAGGAAAATTAGAAGGAATTTACAAGAATAAAATTATAGTTATCAATGGAATAATAGTACCAGAAATTTCACATAATTTGATATCAGTTTCTAAATTAATGGAGAAGGGTATGACAATAATAATTAAACAAGAACAAATGAAAATATATACTAATGATGCACATAGTAATACACACCATATTTATAAAGAAGGAAAACTATTTACTATGAGGATGCTAATCAAACAAAATGCACAGTGCAATCAATCTATAGACAAAAATGATATTTGGCATAAAAGACTTGGACATTTAAATAGAAAAAGCTTACAATTAATGGACTTACCTTTTAGTGATAAAATATGTAATGAATGCATGATAAACAAAAGTACCAGAAAACCATTTTATCCTGTAACAAAACCTCAATCACATGCTATAGGTGATCTAATCCACTCTGATATAGCAGGTCCAATGAAAACTACTACCAATGAAGGAGAAAGATACTATCAAACTATCATAGACGACTACTCACATTTTACATTTACATATTTGTTGAAAAATAAATCAGAAGCAGCGCAAAATTTAATTGATTACATAAAAATAATAAAAACTGAAAAAGGAATAAGAGTAAAGAAAATAAGATGTGATAATGGAGGAGAGTACTGTTCAGACTATTTAAAAGATTTTTGTCAAAATAAAGGAATACAAATTGAATATAGTTTACCATATAGCCCGCAAATGAATGGAAAATCTGAAAGGATGAATCGCACAATAGAACAATGATGAGTGAGTCTAACTTACCCAAACACTTATGGGGACAAGCAGTTTTGACAGCTACATTCTTAATTAACCGTTCACCATCAAAAGCAATATTTAATGATATACCTGCAATACGATTTGAACGAGATATGAAGTTAGATGATATAAAAATATTTGGCTGCAAAGCTTGGGCAGTAATTTTACCTAGAGCAAATAAATTTGAAAACAGAGCTGTAGCAACAAGAATGATTGGATATGCGAAAAATGGATGGAAACTTTGGATTCCAGATACTGACAAAATCATAGTGTCAAGAGATGTCACCTTTGATGAAACGGATATTAAATATAATAAATAACTACCATCTTAATTTTCAGGCATATTGTTTTTACAGCGAAGATGATCCAGTTACATATGATGAAGCTATAGAAAGGGGTTGGTCATCATCAATTAATATGGAATTAGATGCATTAAAAAAAATGAATACATGGAAAGAAACTAAATTGCCAAATGGTAAACAACCAATTGAAGCAAAATGGATATTCAAAACAAAAGAAAATGGAATAAAAAAGGCAAGATTAGTTGCAAAAGGGTTTCAGATAAAAGAAAATGATGAATTTGGAAACAATAACTATACACCAGTAGCAAGAACATCAACAGTGAGATTTACCCTAGCAGAAGCAGTGCAAAATTCATGGCCAATAAGACAATTAGATGTGCCAACAGCATACTTAAATGGAATATTAGAATCAGAAATATACTTGAGACCACCGGAAGGAGTAGAAGTTAGTGATGGAAATGTTTTAAAGCTGAATAGAGGATTATACGGACTGAGAGAAAGTGGAAAATGTTGGAACAAGAGATTAAATAATTATCTTGAAGAAAAAGGTTTTGAAAGATCGAGAAATGATTTCTGTTTATATAAAAATACCATGAAAAACATTTGGCTAGTACTCTATGTAGATGACATATTAATTACCGGTGACAAAAATAATTTGTTAGAAACTATAAGAAATTTGAAACAGGAGTTTAAGGCAAAGGATATTAGGGATGGAAATAACAAGGACAATCGACACATTAAAAATCACACAGACTAGACAGATAGATAAAATGCTTAAAAAATTTGGAATGGAACATTGCAATGCTACAGAAACACCCATGACAAAAGGCTATCAAGTAAATAAAGATGATGAAATCATACAGGACATACCTTTTAGGCAATTGATTGGAGGACTTATGTTCATATCTACAACTTCCCGACCTGATATATCTTATGCAACATCTTTTCTATCGCAATTTAAAAGGTACTAGGACACATGGACTAATATATTATAAAAATAATGATAGATGTATTGATGCTATATTTTAACTAGAAGTCTCACAGACGGTAAAGAAAATACCACGTAAAATTCGTCAAAACAATAATTTAATTAAAATTATTTTTTTAATATTTTGTGTGGCCCCCCCTGGCCCTAATAACAGCTTCCAATCGCTTTTTCATGGATCGAATAAGTTTCCTTACTCGATCTTGTTCGATGCTATTCCATTCGTCGATTAGCGCTGCTTTGAGGTCCGCCATCGTGTCTGGTGCAGGATTTCTAGCCCGAACTTTTCTTTTAAGATCATCCCACAAATGCTCGATAGGATTTAAGTCCGGGCTACGCGCTGGCCAGTCCATAGCGGCAATTGCGACCTCATGTAAATACTGCCGGACGGAACTTGCAGTATGTGGACGGGCATTGTCGTGCATTAGGACGAAGTTTTCGCCAATGAAACGACGTGATCCTCTAAAATCTCTTCGATGTATCGGATCGCCGTCAATCCTCCCATTCGACCGCCAGTTTCAATAAGAACCAACTCGGTTTTTGCCTCGCTTAAAATGCCGGCCCATCCGGTATCCAGGAACCTCCTCCAAAAGCAACATTTTCTTTGATACAGCACTGCGCGAATCTTTCCCTAGGTCTTCTGTAGACTCGTCCTCTTCTATCACTACCATGCAAGCACACTCTACTTTCGTTTGAGAAGAGAACGGTGCTCCATTGTTCGTCAGTCCAATCAACATGTTCTCTAGCAAAACGTAGGCGGGCTGCTCGGTGGTCTGGGGTTAATTTGGGGCCAGTAGCTGGTCTTTTTGGCTCAAGCCTAGCTGTCTTAAGTCGTCTCCTGACTGTCCAGCTACTCACAGCTACTCCTCGCGTTTCTCTGAGCTCTTGTTGGACTTGAACGCCAGTGAGGGCCCGATTTCTTAACGATGTGCTGACAATAAATCGGTCATCTCTCTCTGATGTGCACCTTTTTCTACCGGAACCGCGTCTTCGATTAAAGCCACCAGTCTCCTGGTAACGACGGTAAACTTTGGAAACAGCAGACTGGCTCATGTTCAGTGCACGTGCCACTTCATGCTGAATCTGGCCTTGTCGCAATAGGGTGATCGCTTGAGCTGCTAAATCTTTGCTAATGCTTGTTGTGTCCATGTTAAAAATACGTATATTTGGATGAATTCATCTAAATTATAATTTTGTTGTCTTAAAGTAACTTATAAACTAATAAGTGATTTTATTTTCATAGTAATTTAATTTTTATTATTAAGAATTAGTAATTATCTGACTCACACATCTTCACACATTACATATCTATAATATAAAAATGAATCGCTGAATGTGTTGCTAGGCGCAAATCTCGAGAGCAGCTGAACCGATTTCGCTAATTCTTTTTTAGAATATTCCTTGAAGTACAAGGATGGTTCTTACGGAGAGAAAATTTAAAAAAAATTCTGAAAAAGTCTCAAAACAACACTTTCCTATACTCCCATATAAAAGATTCGTAATAATACTTAAAAGTCAATTTGAACTTTAATACCATACCATAAAGTTTAAGTCTTAGTGGAGAGGTTCCGGGAGGGCGAAACAATTGAGTGACGTTAGTAGTAGTTAGTAGTATCGTATAAATATTAATGTCAATATTTGTCAATATTATTAACAAAAAAAATTATGGCTAACGCTGGCTAATAACTATTTATATCTATGTAAAACGTACCTAGCGACGAACTCGAGCGAAGCGAGGGTGAGCCGCTAGTTATATATGTATTTGTGATATACATATAAAATACACCTTTTGCCATATACACGTTGCTGCTGTATAATTGATATAGTTATAATCAACACTACTACAGCATACTTACCTATTTTTCTTGTAATTACTAATCCCTGCCATAGTATTGAATAAATGTATAAATATAAGATCAACTACGAGTATATAGTGTGAAATACCACACGAAAATCGAAACTACCGTAGGATCACAAGATTGGCAATTAATGCGCCAATCAAACTGACACGTGACTACGTTGTACGAACAACTGAATTTCTCGATTATTTTAATGTAGCTTAGTTTATTTTTAGAATTCCGTAATCAAAAGGCCAAAACGAAACCCTTTTAATTTCAAAGGCTGATAATGCTACATTGTTGGGTAGATACTAGTAGGTAGGTGGCTTATATAAAATACCAGACAATTCCTTATCTAATTAAAAAATAATAAAAATTGGAGTGGAACTCAATACATTATATAATCAGACTAACACTTGTCCGATTTTTCTACATTATAAATGACTAGCATTGCCCGCGGCTCCGCCCGCGTTCAGATGACCAAAAACCCAAATTCTTAGTCTTTACAGATTAGTATACTCTTACATTGCAGTGTTTGAATTTTTTCTCAGAAATGAGATATTTTCCCGCGGTAAAAAGTATCCTATATGTTGACCCGGATATCCAGCTATCACCATACCAAATTTCATCAAAATCCCTCTAGCGGTTTTTTCGTGATGCGGTAACAGACAGACAGACAGACAGACAGACAGACAGACAAAAATTCTAAAAACTGTAGATTCGGCCTCTGTATTGATAATAATGTATATTTCAATAAGATTTTCCAAAAAATATTTCATGTACAGATTCGGCTTGGTTACAATTTTATTATATGTATATATTATTTAATTTCTCGAACATTAGCTGACTACACAGAAAAGTTCACCGATTTAGCAATAAAGTGAAAAAACTAGTAACCAGTCAGGTAGATCTACTATATATCAGTGACAGAGTTATTTCCCAAAGGAAAAAATACATTTTCGATGAAAATGGATCGCACATATACGAATAATCAATATATACCTAGTTTTACATTGTGTAGGTAAAATATTGCCAACTGTCGAAAAATAACGATTACATTATTCAGAACGGGATAGTATTTAATTAAATCAGCCAGGTTAATACTGACCTACTCATGTCTTAGATAAAATTTTGTTATAATTTTTGCCAGGTAATTTTATCGTTACGTATCATATAATTAATACTATCGATTTACAAAAAGCAACGTTGTCTTATCTCATGTGAAGCTTTTCGAAAACCAATTAACTCAATATAACATCTACAATGTATGTCTTATCTATCTATACATATAATAAAATTGTAACTAAGCCGAATCTGTACATTAAATATTTTTTGGAAAATCTTATTGAAATAAACATTATTATCGATACAGAGGCCGAATCTATAGTTTTTAGAATTTTTGTCTGTCTGTCTGTCTGTTACCGCTACACGGAAAAACCACTGGAGGGATTTTGATGAGATTTGGTATGATGGTAGCTGGTTATTCGGGTCAACATATAGGATACTTTTTACCGCGGGAAAATATCTCATTTAAGAGAAAAAATACGAAAACTGCAATGAAAGAGTATACTAATATGTAAAACCTAAGAATTTGTTTTTGGTCATCGGAGCGCGGGCGGAGCCGCGGGCAGTGCTTGTTTATTATATATTTGCCACATAACTTCAATAAAAAATTGTATTTAAATTCGTTTTTAATATTTACCCCCATTTTAGTCCAATTAGTAACAAGCTAAGTTAAATAAGGTTCCCCCCCAACGTGCGTTCACCTTGTCGTGGTGGAGGGGCTCAGTAGTGCTGGGCAACCCAACCGGGCGCGAAGCTAAGAAACGCACAGGGAGGTTGCCCACTTCGGTGGGCGGTGGGAGGTGGCCCTCTTCGGAGGGCGGTGTACCATGCGGGTTGCTCCTGGTACTTCTCTGATAGCAGAGTGAACCTTGGAGCAACCCCATGGTTGTGGTGGTCTGCTTCGGCAGACCTGCCGTCGGGGCGTCGTAGTTGAATGCGTAAGCGATCCTGCGACGCCCCATTAAGACGGGGGAAGGTTTTGTTGGGTTTTAGTGGGTAGTACTGGCTGTATTACGCCGGTGAGTCCCACACGTCGTGCGTAAATGCATTTCCCAACGTTAAAAAAAAAAAGAAGTTAAATAAGGTTATGTTGAGCTATCAAAATAAAACAATATGTACATACGAGTAAGTGTATAGTTTTGTATCTGTTAAGGAGTATCCTCGTGAAGAGACAATAATCCTGGTTAGAGAGTTAAGTTATTTCTATCAACTAAACAAGATGCAAAAATTTCAAAAGCATAAGTTTAACTGTCACGTGTGCAAGAGATATGATAGTGCACAAGTATGCGAGCAAACACAAGTGCACTGCTATTCCTGTCACTCTCACTCCAGTGAAACGATAATTGGACACAATCGGTGGCACCGCTAACTTCCCAACTCCAGGCTCTTACTGAGAATTTTTGACAGGAAACTTATCCTGTCCCGGGACTCGTACTCAGGACCTCCGGAAATTCAGCTAGCCACTAAATTACTTATGCCTACAATACAATTTTCCTAAACAAATGTGTAAATAATAATATGAAATCCGAATACCAAGAATGAGATATGAACATAAGTAATAATAATAATTTATCGCAACCTTGTCAAGATCTTCACGGAAAAATGTTGAACATATAATATGTTATTATATGTATATTAAATTAGTAGTATAAGGATCTTTTTCACAGTATAGATTAAAATTCAATGTTATCACATCGAAAACATATAGAAATCTATACATATTATAATAAAATTGTAACTGAGTTGAATCTGTACATTAAATATTTTTTGGAAAATCTAATTGAAATAGACATTATTATCGATACAGAGTCCGAATCTACAGTTTTTTGAATTTTTGTCTGTCTGTTACCGCATCACAAGAAAACC